GTGATCACCGCTGTGAGGGAGGGAAGCAAGGTAGTCGCGATAGAAGGAGGAGAGGGTGCGAAAAGGCGCCGCTCGAAAGAACTCGTAGTGACGGCAGGCGGGGATTGTCCCCGTGGCAACGCAGTAAACCTCTACCCCGTTGCATCACTCCCATGCAACGCTGAACAGCAAGAGATGCCAGCAGAATGTGGGGGCAGCGGATTGAAGGGAGGCATGGGGGTGGATGGTGGCGAGTAGGCGGGTAGAATAGAAGTCGCGGAAGAGATGGGGAAGGAAGGGATGGGAAGGGAAGGTGATAGGGGTATGGATCTGCTCGAGGGTGAGGAAATCAAGGGGTTGGCGGGACAACATCCGAGGACGAAGGCCTATCGCCCGCATCGGTACGTGGGCAAACTGGGGGACGGGTGGGGCTGGAGGAGGAGGGGGATCGACTCCGTCTCCTTCGCGCGGTACTTGAGGTGGCGGCTGCAGGGTCGCCATCTTCGGGCTTCGGCAACTCTGGATCCCTGGTCGGATCGTTACCGATGCGCAGGCTAGCTTCGCTGGCGAACTCCAGCTGGCGCTTCCCGGTGGCAATTTCTTCGCGCTTTCGCGCCGTTTCCGGATCTTCCGCCTCCGTTCGCGTACGCGTCGCTTCCTCCGGCAAGGCTTCCCACTCAGATCCGGTTTCTTCTCGCTCCTCTTCTCCTTCGCTCAGCTCGCCCTCACTATGTTCACTATAGCTTCCCTCCTCCAATGTCTTCTCATCCTCGTCTTCTTCGTCGTCGTCGATCACCACTTCCTCTGCCCTCGGATAAAAGGCGTGAGGGATGATATCGTACGGCTTCAGATACTCCTGCCGCGATGGTAGCGTATCCTCGTCCCTCGGCTCCTCCAAGCACGCAGTCCACTGAAGGTACGGATCCAATGATCGCTCGAAAATGTACGGAGCAGGACTGTCGTCACTCTGTAAATAGATGTCGGGCGAGAGATCGTCCGCCAATTGCACGATTGGTGCGATGAGCTCTTGCGCAATCAGCTGGCGGCGCCCCGGCTGTACCGATCCAAAGAGAAAGCCAAGAAGATCGCCCTCCTAGTCCTCCAAGCTTGGATGATTAGCAGTTCTGGATTTTCGATCCACGCAGGATGCCCGCTGGTCTGTGTCCACGTCACCTGTACTCTGGCCAAGCAAAAAGACAGCTCCTCAAAAGTTTCGCGCTACAACCGCCAATGTCCAGGATTGATAAGAGGGACCGAAAGAGACTCGAACGAGAAGGAAAGAGAAGGATGAAGATCGGATTGCCAGAAGGTGGGGAAGAGAGAGGGGAGACCAAAGATAGAGAGAGGAGCGAGAAGATCGGCGTGGTTCATTGGGGATGTGGGAAGGGGATGATGGTTGGGATCGCGACTGGCCGCTCGCGCAGTGATCGGCGAATATCGCCAAGATCCGATGCAAAGATCGGGATGAGGTTAAACCCTTGTCGGGCGAGGACGTGTTGCCACACGTTGGACACTTGCTCCGTGCACTCGGGCAGCGAGGTCAAGATCGAGGTATGCCACTGCGGATTGACCGAGCTGATGTCGCTGTTGAACGCCACAACCGTGGTGACGTGGCTCGTTCCGGGGCCCGCTCGCCGATGAACTGCGGTTACCTACGCGAATACTACTGCATGAGGACTTCCTTCGATTCGAAACGTGGCGGTGACACAGATAACTTCATCGCAGAAGAATCGCATCAAACGCCGAAGATCAGCATTGAGCCGAGGGTGACAAACTTGCCGAATCTCTGAGATGTGGCCACGTGGCTGCAACAGCTGTGCGTCAAGAACCCACTCTGTGATAAAACTCATGGCGAGGTGGGAGAGGAGGACGAAGGACAAAAGGGAGAGAGAGGAGAGAGAGTTAGATCGTCGTCGTTCTCCTCGCTTTCCGAGGAAGAAGAGGGAGGAAGATCAGAAGGAGGAAGAAGACGGAGGTAGGAGGTATGCCGGACGATGGGGACAGAGCTATGGCTGGCACTAGCCTAAGGCGCGATGCGCACCGTGTTGGCGTCGTTGGGTCCGAGCTCGACAACGCGAAAACTGCCAGAAAACTTGGGAGCGAGTTTCCGGTCGCGTGCACATTTACGTACTTGCACTAGGTCCCCTAATTTATATTGATGCTGGGGCCCAGCATTCCCATTCCGAGCCTCGTAGCTACGGACCTGTCTACCGTGGGCCAGTTCGGTCATCCTTTGCCTTTTTCAGGATAGCTTCGGGACGGCCCGTTCCATTAATTCGGTGTACCTTTTGGCCTTGGCCTTGAGAGCTGCACGCGTGTCTCTACCCCCTGCTTCGGCAATTTCCGAGTTACCCTGGTAGTCGACACAGGGGAGGCTATTAGTTCGAAGCTGAAAAGGGGTAAACCCCGTGGACTCGTGAGGGGTGGCCCGGTGGATCCCGACGATCYGATATACGATCTCGGGCCAAGGACGCGTGTCACGTGCCGCTAAGTTCCTGCGAAGGGCGGTTTTGATCATACGGTTGGCATTTTCGGCCAACCCGTTTGACTGGGACACGTGGGGTGCCGTATGTCGGAGCGTGACGCCCCTTCGTGCAAGCAGTTTTTCTACCTCACCCTTGAATTCGGACTCATTGTCGGTCAGAATTTCTTCCGTATCTAGATGGGTATAGAGGAACCGTTCGATGTACGCGGCTATTTCTGCGGCCTTTCGGGTCTTACAGGGATAGACTTCGATGTACTTGGAAAAATGATCTATTAATACTAGCAGTATAGAATATTTACAGCGGTTTGGGCCAGGTGGCACATCGATATCTGTCGTGTCCATACTGACTCGCTGGAAAGGACGCTCTACTTCCGTTGGTGCGATTGTGTTTCGTCCCCGTATAGGGGCGTGATCAGCGGCATAGACCAGACAGTTACCGACAATGTATTTGACATCATCTCGTATATTGGACCAGAATCATCGGTTCTGATCTACAGTTGCCTCCGTGACACGTATTACGAAATGCGCGGCTTGTTCTTCGTGAGCAGATCGGATCCAATCATATCTCTGGAATGGATGGGGAACCGTTAACCATGAGCCCGATCTGTCAGTTTTACGCTTTTCCAAATGGCCGTTGACCCATCGATAGTCCCGAGATCTCTCGGTTGCCCTACGTCTGTCGTGTTTGGTGAGGTGGCCCAATGATAATCCCGCTAATTTCGCCAATAAAATTTTATCCGTCCAAACCTCCGCTCGTTGGTATTTTTCGTCATATTCAGGGCCGTCCGTACGGGCGGCCTCAAATCGAACCTCCGTGGGGAGTTTGTTCGTTCTACACAGGGGGCACCTCCACTCCTTGCTATTCGTCTGATATCGAACGCAGGCCCCGTGCGCACGATTGACACACGTGGCACATTCTACCCAGTCGACAAACCCGGTTTCGAAAGGATGGCAGTCGACCCCATAGACCCGTGCAATGCACGTGCAAAAATAACAGAATTTATCGGGAAGGGCGGCGAAGAAAGCTGAGGTTGTGAGAGGGGCAGAATTAGTAGGAGATGAAGGGGTAGCAGAGGTAAGTGGGGTAGTCATGATGACAGAGAAGGAAGGGATGCAGAGAGGGTAGAACAGACCAATGAGTCCTCGTGTCACTCACTGCTTCTATAAGATCTCCACTTGGCCGTACCGAGGTTCGATCTCCTGTTCGGGTTCGTTCCACAAAATTACCTCCTCATTCTTCGGAACCTTCTCAGGCCGGTGCAGTCGTGTCAGTCCGTCCGCATTCCCATGTCTCTTGTGCTTCCGATGTCGAATGTCAAAGTCCATGCTCTGCAGCACTGTTGCCCATCGCCCGATCATGCCAGAGTAATCCTTCGATTTCTTCAGAGCTAACAAGGGTTCATGATCAGTTACCAAGGTGAACTTTCGCCCGTACAGGTAAGCGCGAAAGTGGCTGATTCCCCATAGAGCCGCGTAACATTCCCCCGTCGGAGTGGCGTAGTTGCGCTTGCAAGCTGGCACCGATTTGGAGGCATATTCCACCACACTCTCGAGTCCGCTTGGTCCTACCTGGACAAGGATCGCCGAAATCGCCTCTGGCTGCCAGTCAGTGATGAGAACAAAAGGTTTTTCGGGATCCGGCCTTATAAGGACCGGAACCGAAATGAGAGCGGCCTTGAGTTTGAAAAACGCTTGATCGCACTCCGGCGTCCAGATCAACGGTTGATCTTTGCACAGCATATTCGTGAGGGGTCCCGCAATCACCGCGAAGCCCTTGATAATTCTTCGGTAGTACGAGGCCAGGCCCAGAAAGGCGTGAACTTGCGTGATAGTTGTAGGCACCGGCGCATCCCTGACAGCTGCCACCTTCTGTGGCTCCGGCTGGAGTCCCTTGTCTGTCACCACGTGCCCTAGGAAGGAAATGGTGGTGAGAAAAAACTGACACTTCTCAAGCGCCACCTTGAAGCCCGCATCCCGTAACGCGTGCGGTGCCCATTCGATGTGCTGCACGTGTCCCTCGTAGGAACTCGAATACATTAAGATATCATCTATATACACAATCACGCAGTAGTTGACGATGCTCTGTGCCAAACGAGTCTTTCTCACGAAATTCTGAAAAGCCATGTTCATGGCTCGCTAAAAGGTCGCGGGGGCGTTGTAGATACCCATCGGATATCGAATACATTGCCACGTGCCCTCGAAAAGTACAAAAGCTGTTTTTGGACGATCTTCTTCCCGAAAAAGAAGATGACGGAACCCATGGCGAACATCAAACTTGCTGAAAAATCGAGCACTCCCAATCGCATCCAACAATTCATCAATCCGGGGGAGGGGGTACACATCTTTGATCGTGATATCATTCAACTTTCGATAATCAATGCAAATGCGAATCCCTCCGGCCTTTTTAGGCACGATCACTACAGGGAAAGACCATGTACCTATAGCGGGTTTGATCCATCCATTGGCTTCGAACTCCTTAATCCGCTGAAAAGCGGCCGCTCTCTGAGCTGGCGAGTATCGGTAGGGAGCGCAGCTAATGGGCGGATGGTCTCCCGTGAGAATGACATGCTCGATCATATTAGTTAAGCCGATGTCGTTATCGTGTATGCTCAATACTTCTGCGTAACAATTTAACACACGGATTAATGATTTCCGAAGTTCCGTGGGAACGTGACCTGGCAGGGTGATTGTTGATTCCCCGGAAATCTCAAGAGGCATATCAACCCAATCTTCCGGCCGTTCCCGTCGATCATGGACACTAGAGAAAACGGAACTACTGGTGCGAACAAAGAAGACAGTTGCTATGAACCAACCGAGGTTGGTTCCACAGTTAGCCTCATTAGGTCGGTCATTTCTTGCAGTAGGTCAGGTACACTACTTACCGGTGCTTCCGTCTCTTGTTTGATCAAAGCGATGGTGGCTCCAGTCGTTAGTAACGTTCTGTGCGGAAAAACAGAAACATCCAAATATTGTTCCGTTTGCTGATAACGCGTTCGTAAGGAGAGAGTTCCTTCGTACAAGGTGCGAGGGGTTTCCGAATCATCAGCCAGGTCAGATACTTGTAATATAGGTTCCCCAAGCAGGATCGAAGGACTAACTTGAGTTATCGGAGGCACAAGCGCATTGTCTCCTGAATCCACCTGGAAACTTCAAACAGGGTCGGGGCACACTTGGAATTCCTCGGGAATTTTGTGTTCGAAAAGTTCAACCAGGTGCTTCCATTCATCTTCGCTAGGCAGCTCTTCTTCGTATTCCTGTTCCCTGATTCCATCACTGATGTGCGAGGGAGAGCGCTCCTTGGGATCAATGCATCGAATCATCCCAATTTGGGCCGAGTTAGGGACCCGTTTTATCGTTCGGGTAGAGACTCGCAGGGGAACAGTTTGAGGTTTTCCCCCAGCTTGAGTGAGCACCAATTGTTTCGAATCGAAATGCAGACGTGTGAAGGTAATCCCAACAACACAGAATAGGAACGTACATCTATTACGAGCGCGTTAACAAGAACGTGTACTCGTCCGACTTTTACAACCACGTTCTCGATAATGCCTACGATGTTCATTGCTTCCTCGTCGGCAGAGACATAATTGTCTTTGCCAGATTGAGGAAGAATGGATCTAAGTCGTCCCGTCTTTCTCACGGCAGGTCGACGCCGTTGCCATCGAAGGGGAAGGCTGCTCTGGGGCATATGCCACGAGTTCTCCTCCTTGGTCCGTATCCATCAGGGCGGCCACTCGTCCTTGATTAAGGGCGACAGGGGCCGCAGCAGGGGGAGGCTGATTACGTTTCGGCTGCGGACAGTCCAAGGCGAAATGCCCGGGCTGTTTGCTGTTAAAACACTCGATCTTTCCGGCTAGATTGGCTAGGTGAGGGAGCTGAGGTGTGTACCCTGGAGCAGGCGGGGCAGGTAAGAGTGGAAATGATGCGGGGGCCGGCTGAGCAGGGGCCGGGTTAGGCTTGATTAACCTACTCATTATCTGTTCCATCCGTTCCATGAGAGCGGCTTGCATTTGGATCAAGTTGCTCATCCATTCGGACTGCTTAGTAGTGGTCGTATGGATCATCTGGGCAAGATGTAAGTTGGTTATGGCCGACAAGGAGGGTTCGGATGAGATTCCGCTTTTAACAACTGCGATTGATTGATTCATCGGGGGAGAGGAAGAAGAAGCAGGCGGGGTATCGGAAATGATCCCGCCGGGAAGGTCATGGTCGGAGCGGGGATAAAACCGTTCGACCGCCTGCAGCCATGATCGCCTTTTAGCCGTTACATCCCGTATGGCATCTGTACTGTCTTCGTCTCCCTGGCTGATATACTTCTTTGTATCAGCCAGGTCCAGTTCCAATGCTTTAGTAATGATAGCCGATAACTGGTGTGTTTTCGGCGGGACTTTTTTCTGCAGTTTGCCTTTCAATGTAGGACTTCGTAGATGGTCGATGAACAAATCTCGAGCGGATTTCTCGTCTCGCCCGGATTTGTCCAGCGTGGTTTGAAATCGATCGACGAAATCGGGTAACAATTCCCCTGGTCCTTGTGGCCGATTTTTTAGCACGTACCAGGCGGCATCTTCACTGACCGTATCGAATCGAGTCAAGAAGGCTTGCTTGAAAGTATCCCAATCTACCCACGTGTGTTTTCTAAACCAGTCATGCGACGTATTGCAGAGTAGCAATGTTAGAACGCGAGGAAGATCAGCTGCGCTGTAGTTTTGAGCTTCTACAGCTTCCAGCCAAGCCTCGGGATGGGTATGATTAGGGAAGAAAAAGAAGGGGGCAGGGATACTAACGATCACCCTAGTACCAACCACCATCGGTGCTGCGGGTGCAGCCGCACCAGACTGAGACCGGGTCACTGGGCAATCCCGACGAGCTAGTTGAGGGCCTCTCCTACCTCTCGCCAGTTCGACTTACTATCATCAGAACTGACACGTGTCGGCTCCGATACCAACCTCACGCCCTGTGCTGTCTTTCGTTCGGAGTGTTAGGCGTGCGGAAAGAGGCCCAGAAAAACAGCAAAATGGGGTGTGCCAAGGATTTTTGGAAATTGAGTGTGGGAACAAAGATGGAACTGAAATACCCCGTGTTGGTCCAATGGAGCAAGTCGATTGCTTTCACGCGTCGCCGAATGCGCGCGCGGGCACGGCGCAAAAAGAGAAAAATCCAAATTCAATCCAAAAAGTATTGTCGGGCTTCCCGCCGTGCTACAGCCCGTCGTTTAGAATGAAAAGGCTTTGGCACGCTCCGCGTGTCTCGTTTTTGTATCAAGTCTCGTCGTCGTTCAATAGTCAGTTCGGAGTCTGACGTGGATGGTCTCAGCCGCGTGGCTCTTTCTTTATGCTCGTCTTCACTCCACACACGGTAGTGGAAACCCCTGGATTCGTAGCGCTCAAAACGCTGGCATTCGGTGCATAGAGTGCGCGACCAGTGGGGTTCTACTGCCGTCCACGGGATGACGATCAACTCATTGAATGGCAACAATATCGAGTAAGGTGGGAAGTGCGTGTCGATAATGAAAAACCCAGCCTCTACGAACCCTGAACAACGATTTGCCGGAGGGAAGTAGTATCGTCCGCCGATCTGTGCGACAGCTTCTCGCACGTCCCACTCGCATACACGTGTCCTTTCCTCGTTGTACGGAAAAGGCCGTGTTGGGCCGAGGGTACGGGAGGCTGGTGCCCAATCGGAGGGTACTGGTTGGTCCACATATCAATCAATTGGAAGGACCTTGCGACGTCATCAAGAAAAGAAAACACTCGCGCAACCAACAAACAATTTCCTTCAATCTGAGAGGGAGAGAGAGAGAGAAAGAAGACACGCGAGCAGCTTGATCATGCATATAACTAAGGGACCGATCCGCGGCTCAGGTTTAATGAGCCAGCGCGACGTTGATCCCAGGCGCGTTGTTTCTCGAGGCCGCCTCGTGGTTCGGCTGCTGATGTCGGACAGCATAAGGCAGATGGCATGTGCAGTGCACTCAAAGCTACAGATCTAAACACTCTTGCATTCTCGGACAAAATCCCGTCGACAATCGTCTAATCAATGCCAAAGAGACGCGCATTCCCATACATCCATTCACTGTGGAAGATGCAAAAAATGAGCCATGCACAGGAAAAGATGGATTGCTTTGCACAATACACACGCATCCACCGTTCACAAGACAAGAAGACGGGGTCCTTGCGCGGGAGGATTACCCAGGAAACTAACGAAAGAGTTCCGGAAGAAGTTATTTCACGCACGATAAGCATACATATTCATACTCATCCTGAGGAGGGAAAGAGAGAGAAGGAGAGAAGCATCGAGACACATCATTATTCAAAAATAGAGGAGAAGAGGAAGGT